CCCCCCCCCCCATTCATTCCATTTCATCCCCCCTCCATTTTAAAAAATTCAAGAGAACTCCGAGAAAATAGCTTGAAAAAAACCGGCGCTCCGCTACGCTCCGCGCCGGTTTTTGAGGGGGCTTCGCCTCCCCAAGCCCCCCCAGGACGCGCGCTTCGCGCGCGTTTTTCGTGTATTTTTTTTTTACTTTGAGTGTCCGGCCTCAGTTGTTCTGTCTTTTAAGTGACCCGCGCGTCCACCGCTGGAAGAGTGTATTTTCCGAAGGGAGGGGCGGGGGCGGGGAGTTATCAATCTTCGGAGGTTGGATTTACGTTTACACTGTTGGAGGCATTGATTATTCGACTAAGGACTTCATGTCGCCAGATTGCAACAACAATCCTCATGTAATGTCTGATATGAAAAGATGTCAACAAACGCTGTGGCAAGCTTGAATGACGATGGATGAATCTCCATAACCGTGCGCCAACATTGCCGTCTTGTCCAACAATTATCAGTCTGTAACCCACTGTGCGACAATAAAGCCATCGTGTCCACCAATTATCAGTTCGTGACCCATTGTACGACAACATTGCCGTCTTATCCACCAATTTTCAGTTCGTGACCCACTGTGCGACAACATTGCCGTCTTGTCCACCAACTTTCAGTTCAAGACCCACTGTGCGGCTTCCCTCCTCTTTTGCCGCACACCCCCCGCCTAAAACTTTCAAAGCTCGCCATTTTTAAACGGCTCGACCGATTTCGCTCAAATTCAATACCAGCCTAGAACTAAGTAAGATCTTCCTTCTATAAAAATTTCGGGGGAAGGGGGGGGGGAGCTTTTAATTTGCGCGAGTTATCGCGCCCACAAAATTGAACCTCCCCCCACTTCTCGCCCCCACCATTCGAAATGTAATACTTCGATCTCCGTTTTTTTTCGCAGAATGGTAGTCCTGTTCCTCTACTTTACATCGCAAAAAGTTTCACCCGGAACTTTTTTAAAATGAGGGAAATATAACCCATCGAAAATCGGAATAACCACGATGAGTCGGAAATACATACATAAATAAGCAGATATATATATATGTAAGCCTGAGTCGCTGAATGTCTCAAAATTATAATAACTAACTAACTATATATAAATATATAAACATGAATTCAAACGGCATGCATATTCGTAATCTACGACCCATGATCGATGCTCATTACATGGTCTTTGGTCCAGGTCTGACATCAGGGGAGAACGCAATAGTGTATTTCCTTCGGAAAATGCACTAAAAATTCGGGGTTTCTCGGAGACATTTCGCTGAAATATGACGGGCAGGGGGAACAAAGGGGAGGGCGGGATTTTCAATTTTTGCACAGTTTTTTCCAAGTCCCATCCCCCCCTCCTCTCCCCCGGCTCAGATTTGTCATGTAACGCTGGGCTTGATCCCACTCCCCTCTAAGTGCGTTACGTAATACCTGAACGGCACCCTTCTAACGCTTCTAGGTACTTTCTTCCAGAGTTTTTGAACTGCACGTAATGTTTACGCAAGTTTTTTTTGTTTTTTTTTTATTTGGGGGAAGAATTGTTCTGAAAATGTTTACTAAGCTATATTGCCGTGACAACGTCACCGGCAACGTCGCAGTGGCCCGGTGGCCCCCCTTTGCAGGCAAGTAAATTTTGACCTGGAATACATGTCAAACTGGGCGAAAAATTACCATTTTGCACAACTATTCGATACTACATTTTTAAATATAGAAATATCTGGCAACGGGGTCGTTTTCATATTGCATGCCACGGCGGCTTCAGCGTGGCGGAGGCGCGGTATCGGCATGAGTTTTCGGGAAACAATACACCATTTTCATTCATTTCCACACGCAGGCGCAGGCTTATTTCGACAACGAGTCCCAGCTTGACAATTGGGATGAAGTGGAGTGAAAAATCATAGCGTACCGAAGGGGCTCCATGCGAATGCGGGTGGCAGGCTCCAAAGAGCGTAACAAACATCCCTCCCCATACCGCTAACACTTCCACTCAGCTATCAACACCATAACTTGACTCGGGCGGCGCGTTTAATGCGAAAAAAACCGCAATAAATTCATCAAGACGGTGACATGAGAGCTGCCTTGTTCAGGGCATCTCGCCGTCGCTCCTACCCCGCCGCCGCCCCTACCCCGCCGCCGCCCCTACCCCGCCNCCCCCTACCCCGCCGCCGCCCCTACCCCGTCGCCGTCGCTCCTACCCTGCCGCCGTCGCCTCAACCCCGCTGCCGCCAACGCGCGACCCCAGCTGAGAACATGATGTCATAAGAAACGGCATCCGGGTGCTATATACTGAGGGTGCGATTTGATGATGTCCGGATCTAAGGTTTTTCTTGCACACGCTGACATCAGTGCAAACCACTCTCGGCCGGTGCCGGCCGGTCTAACTTCAACGTGTTAGACCGCGCGGCATCAATAGATCTCAATCCACCACCCTCTCCCTCCTTCCTCCTAGCCTACCGAAGCTCGAAAGAAATTTGATGAAATTTTTCAGATCTGATTCAATTTCAACCTTACATTCTACCAAGAAAGTTTCTAATCAATCATTATCTAAATTACTTTGTGATGTTTGATATTTAACTTAAGTTTGGGTGGGCTGACAATTTTTTTGAAAATTCGATAACGGCTAGGGCTCCAAAGTTGTTAAAAGGCACCAATAGAACAAGGAAAAAATCCCAGGCCATTACATCCTCCATCTTCATCGTCAACATGGGGGTTGAAATTTTAAGGGCTGAATTTTCCGATTTTCGAGTTTTTTCCAAATAAAACCGCTCTCCGCGTCCACATATAGGTCAGAACTTGCAAACTAAGGTATCGCTATGTATTTTGAGTCGACAAATCGATTTTTGCAAGATAATGGATTTATCGAAATCCAATATTGATTTATGCGATTTATTACGTATAAAAGCAAGAAGTGACTTCATTGTAACGTCATCTCAAGTGATCATTTCAGTGTAGCTTTCGGCCCAAAAATTTTACTGATTGTGAGGCACCAAGAATCTCGATTCCTTCGAAATAAGGAGTTAAACAGTTAACTTCTGCACTTTCACTATCGACAAGTCGGTTATCATACGATCACAGCCAATGTGACGTCATATCTCTGCATTTCGCAGATCATTTTCTATTTAGAGCAAAAAATATATTGTGACTTTTTTTGTAACATATTTCATGGAAGAGTCGGCCCAAAAAGTGTCCCTTCCTAGAACATCTCGGCTGATATTCAGATAAGTCCTAGAAACGAAACCTGCCAGAGACGAAAAAGGAACGCAAATTTTATGGTTTCGAAGCCCCCCTTTCCAGCCTCCTTTTGGGGTCAACTCCTCGTGTAACTTCTCGTCCGACTTACATGCGTGCGATGATTTTTCATTCCGGTGTTGGAGTTTTTTCAGGATTTTCATATCAGGCTTTCGCCTGTCTTTAGGTCGTAAGTTAGGCTAACACTGCTGCGCGTTGCGCTTCAAGTAACTAGAAGAAAAACTACAATATCGGACGCACATAATTTACTTACCTACTAAAGTGACAGTTCAACCGCAGCCAAGTGTGGGTTTAAAAGTTTCAAAATTCATTTTATGTTTCACGATTTTAATCCACAAGTCTATGTGCCTCCGATATTTTAGTATTTTTTCTAGTTACTTGACGTGCACCGCGCATCAGTGTTAGCTTAACCAAAGGCCTGAAGACGGTCGAAAGTCCGAAATGTACTTAGCCCAAAGATCCTGAAAAAACTCTTACAACGGAATGGAAAAGTCATCGCAGGTAATTATCAATCCGTAAAAATGAGCAAATCACATAATCTTGTCCGACTTAATTTAACCGAGAAAAAATCTGGCACCCTTGGCCCTCGCCGCTCCGTACGAACTCGGCTCCGATGTATCGCGACCAGTCATTAGATCGTTGTGTCAAAAACAGTCTCTATTGCCGAGTTACATCATCTGATGATACTGAGCCTCAGAGCATGCAAACGGATCAACTAGAGTCGTTCCTTTAACTAAGAGACCGCAAAATATGAGTTATATACAATGACAGAAGTGCAAACTTTGCAACGCTGTCTTGGCAGACGCGCTCACCTGAATCTAAAACTTCCTGCGTAAGATTTTGTCATCGAAGAGACGAAGAAGAAGAGTGTGTGTTTTGTGTGTGAAGAGTTTATTCAGAACACTTTTGAATGAAATCCATAAGGTTCCAAATAGGGGCACAAAAACCTTCTTTCCCAAGTAGCATTTTTCAACGGAAAAATCGCGATTTTATCGCCGATGAAATCGCGATTATCCTCGATTTTATCGGCGATAAAATCGCTAGGATCATCAACATCTGAGCGACTATCCTCGATCTTTTCGCGATTTTATTGCGATTTTATCGGCCCGAAAAAATTGCGATTTTATCGCGATAAGATCGAGGATAATCGCTCACATGTTGATGATCCTAGCGATTTTATCACCGATAAAATCGCCAAAAAAAGGGGTTAACGATGTTAGCCGATTGCCGTTAGGTTCAGCCGTCAGGTCCTTTGACGAAGACGAGCGTAAAATCCCCGGAGCCTCCGCGGGGATTCGGACCCCAATCGCTACGGTGGAAGGCCAGCACATTGCCACTATGCTATGGCCGTTATATGTATGGGTAACGAGTGCAAATTTAATTGAAGCCTCTTATACATGGATCAGCGCTTTGCAACTTACAACTTATGTCTTTGCGTTGACTGACACCGAGTTTTCATTGGATTTTTTTTTTTTTTTTTTTTTTTTTTTTTTTTTTTTTTTTTTTTCATTTTCCCTCCTCTGTATTTTATTTCATACCTTGAAATACGGTTGGTAAAATAAGGTTCTATTGGTAATCTCATCATTCTGTCTCTGTAAAATTACCAATAATAGTGAGATGGCAAAGTTACCGATGGACCTTGGTAAAAATGCCAATATTTTTTATCGACTGTGGTAGAATTACCGAGATAAAATGATAAAGTTACCGGGAATTGATCATCAATTATAGTGGTATTCTTACCTGAAAAAATCAGTAAAAATACCGGTTTTTAGGTAAGCTTACCAGTCTGTCTTTGTAACATTACCAATAATTGATAAAAAAAATGAGATGGTTAAGTTACCAACGGACCTTGGTAAAAACGGCGGCGGCGGCATAGAAACATCTTTCACATGCGTCATTTATGCGTTAGTGGGCGTTGATGAAAAATTGCAATTTTATCTCTATAAAATCGCGTTCAATAAAATCGCGATTTTATTGCAATTTATCGCGATTTTTTATCCGATAATATTGCAATAAATCGCGACGTCGATAAAATTGAGATACACTCTCCGATTAAATCGCAATTTATCGCGATCACTGCTACCTGGGTTTGTGGACAGGCTCTTATAAAGATATATGAGAGATTAGCAATTAACCCGCGCTTGGCGCGTTTACAGCCACTCGGGGGTTGAAAAGTTGTATCATGCGTATGATCTATCACTCTCAGGTATTGAGCCTGGATGAATTGATGTAAGAGCTAGCGTAACGTACGATTCACCGTACAAGGAGAACCCTATTTTTATCACCTCTATGGAGACTTAAATGCAAGATTAGAAGAATTAGACAAGTTATTTTTCCCTATGTTACAAATGGAGACTTCTGGGAAAATACTCCTCTCAATGGGTATAATTAGTGGGTACAATTCCGCTTGTTCTTAATTTGTTCTGCATTTATCCCTCCCTTTATTGGGGTGTAACGCGACTTTTCTCGAATTTCTCAAGAGCGTTACGTATTTCATGAACGGTCCCCAACGGCAGCACGAAAAATTCGCTTAAGATGAATGACGAAACTTCTTTAGATCCATTTTACTTGCTGAAGGTGACATTTTTGAAGAAAAATTCGAAATGATCATTTCCTTCGTATTCCGAAGGAGCGTCGATTGCTCTGCGTCCAAAGGAGCGGTTGCGATTTTGGCCCTCTCCACGGAATCGAGAAGTTTTTGGATATTCGGCAGTTGATGCATATTTAACAGAAATAATCGAGTTTTGCCGATACTCACTCGAGGGGCCTAATCATGGCTCGGGAGTCCAAAATAGCTGAAAATTCGCGTTTTTCGCGGTTCTACCTCAGATTTTAACCTGGACCCAAAAGCGACGGGCCATGAGCCTCGGATATGATGTCAGGGACATCTAGACATGTAACATACTTGAAAATGATCAACCGTACCCTTTCGGCCCAAGTTCAAAAAAAACTTTTTTAACGTTTTACACCGAAAGAGCTGAAAATCCTTGGGTCCAAAGGGGACGGTTGATCATATTCAAGTAGGTACGTTACGTATCCAGGTGTCCCTGACATCATATTCGAAGCTCATGACCCGTCGCTTTTGGGCGCAGGTCGATTTCTGAGGTAGAGCCGCGAAAAACATGGATTTTCAGCTATTTCGGGCTAAAAAGTTAGAAAAGTTCGGTTTAGAACTTGGGCCAAAAGGGGACGGTCGATCATATTCAAGTATGTTACATGTCCAGGTGTCCCTGACATCAGATTCGAAGCTCATGACCCGTTGTTTTTGGGCGCAGGTCGAAATCTGAGGTAGAGCCGCGAAAAACATGGATTTTCAGCTATTTCGGGCTAAAAAGTTAGAAAAGTTCGGTTTAGAACTTGGTCCAAAAGGGGACGGTCGATCATATTCAAGTATGTTACATGTCCAGGTGTCCCTGACATCAGATTCGAAGCTCACAACCCGTCGCCTTTGGGCCCAGGTCGAAATCTGAGGTAGAACCGCGAAAAACGCGAATTCTCAGCTATTTTCGGCACCCGACTCATGATTTGTCCTCTGTTTCACAGCAAAAAAATGTGAGTACTGGCAAAACTCGATTATTCTCTTAAATATGCATCGTCAACTGCCAAATGGACGTATTTCTGTCAAACGGAACTAAGCGCCAATTTGAGTTCCCTTTGAGGAATTTAGAATGCCGGATAGCGCGTTCTGTCAAATGGAACTAAGCGCCATGGAAAAGCATTGCAAGTATAGGACGGAATGAACCCGACGCCCGGTTCAGCCGGGATTTCCTACAAATGCTTATTGGCGCGGGTCGGTAGCGCCCGACGCCAATTGTCATAAGAGCCCGTGTAAACGTCTTATTTTCGCCAGGCGTCAACACCGCCTCCGAGGCGGTGTTGACGCCTGACGAAAGTAACTTTTTCCGCCGCCAATCCAAGCCCCCCTCTACCTTCCCTCCCCTATGGCGCTTAGTTCCGTTTGACAGAAATACGTCCAAATATCAAAAAAATTTCCCGATTCCGTGGCGGGGCCGATTTCAGCCCAAATCTCAACCCCTCCATTTATTGGTTGATTTCTTGATACAGCGCTCGACCCCAACTCCACCATATGTAGGTACAGCCTAGGTACTCGTGAAAAGTGAAATTCCCTGCCCAACCAATTGTTCATCCCTGACCGCTCTTGAGGGTTCCTCAGCCTGCATGTCCTCTTGGCAGTTGACATTGTTTACAACCAGTCCGTCTGTCCCTGACCTGTTTATTTGGGTACGTCTCCGTTCACCTCTCTCCTCTTTCTCCTCCCCCTCCGTCTACCCATCAATCTCGTAAGGAAGAAAAGGACACTTGTATTGCTGCCGGAAAATCTTCTTTTACTTCCGAGGACAGAAATGAACCCTTCTCAGCGTTGCCGAATTTGGCCTGCGTCTCACAACGTGTCATTCAATCGTGCAAGAAAATCATGATTTATTTGCCTGACTTGAAAGTTTTTTCCCAGGTCAGAGTCACGTCGCACCCTCTCTTTTTACTGCTGGATTTCAAAGGCGTACCGATTTTCGTCGAGTTTCCATTGCAGCCCCCAACCCTCAGTTCAGCCCTTACTTTGAAACTGAGAGCCGCGCTGACCGTACGAGTGAAACCGTCAGATAGCATTTTTCAGCACGTGCGTCCTTGTAGTGTAAAGTACGAGTATGTTTTCTCCTTCAATGTTCGCTACCTGCAAATTGGACAAATAGTGTATTCATCATCGTTAGTTCAGGCCGAAGTTAAGCAATTCCCCTTTTATTTTAATGCAGTTTGAAGTCATGTGATTCTGAGGTTCTTGTACATTCAGTTCTTCATGTTACACCGAAGTTTCCTGCCAAAATGCGTTGGTTGTTGAGGTGAAGTTTTTATCTTTTTTCCGTTATATCATGTACGTGCATTTAAAGGGGGGGGGGGGTNGGGGGGGGGGGACGTATAGGGACAGCCGTAAGTGAAACCCATAATCCCCCTCTTTCTTAATTTACAGGGTGTCTACTAGTCCGGAAAGTCTGGAAATAGTACTGATTTTTAGAAGGCGGTCTGGAAGTACTGAAAAAGTACGGAAATTCCGCAAGTAGGTCCGTAATTTTACTCATTTCTGTGTAATTTTTGTCGCAATTTGAGCGAGAAATTCCAATTTTTTTAACTTTTCGAATTTCGTCAAATGAAGGTACTGAAAAAGTACTGAATTTTTCTGTTGAGGAGGTACTGAATTTCTTGAGAATGTAAACATTTTCGGATCTAATTATAATTTCTAAACCTTTTGCCTTGCTTTCTGCGCAAAATAATTCAGACCCAGTACCAACTATTTTTCCACCTTGATAGCCTCTCTATAGAGCCCATCCAAAAAGTCTAGTTTGAGGGATTTTTAAAAATATTCTTGATGCTTCATAATCACTCTCACTTGGAGATGACAAGCTAAAAATGATGTAAAAGAAGGAAAGAGTGTATGCATGAAGATAATCTTCTTCTAGAACTGTATAGTAGGGATTCATGGGGGAGGAAGAAAAATTGTGAAAGCTGCGGGCAAAGCTTGCAGGAATCATGAAGGTCACCTCTTTTCCGCTCATTTTTTAATTTTCCGATTCTTTGTGTTTCTTGCAGCCTTTCTCCGGATTAAGTTGTTTTTTCTAACTCCCTAGGTTACAGCTGGTTGTTATTATTTTTTTTTTTCATTTCATTCATGATACCCTTTTGTTTTCACTTCTCATAGGTATATCTTAAGCATCGCCGTTGTTATCCAGTTCGCTGGAGAACGAGGTGGCTGGATCTTCTCGGATAGTCAAAGTGGGTTCAATTATGTTTATCACAGGGTGCGGAATGGCACAGTTTATTGCAAATGCATAAACCACTCGATCGGAAGGAAGCGTGCCAGAAAGAAGAAGCCAGTTTGTGATGGTGAGTAAGAGTTGTTACTTTTACTTTCAACATAAAACTACAACCCTGACACTGTTTGGTCACATTGAGATCAAATGCATTGACTTGATTCCTTTAAAGTTTGTATACCAGTGTTTTAGAAACAGGACGAACATTCCATCTCATCGGCATTTCTTACAAATTCAAAGTTACTCCTGAAGGAGAATGTGTAGGGTTTGAAAATTTTTAAGAGTTTTCAACTAAAAGTCAACCTTACGTCCTTGAATCTCAAATATAGGGTGTCCCAGGGTTAATGCGCCAGACTTCAAGGATCGCTTTTTGGGGTCAAAATAAAATTTTGTCCTCTAAAATTTTATCTAAAAATGATGTACTTCAAAGCTACAGCCCATCAAAGTTGAGGATTTTCCCCCGAAATTTGCCCATAACTCTGACACCGAACTTCAAATGCCAATGAAACTTGAATTTGCTACAGGAAACCTTTAGCATACTTTTCATTATTTGTGGTTTCAAATGCCTTCAATCTCGTGGAAAGACGGTAGGCAACATCTGTACATTAAAAATGGCTTTAGCTTTTGAGCCGATGAAAATTTCTGAATTCCAACTGTACCACGAGAATGCCCGCAAAATTTTATTAATGTGAAGTGAGCAGTGTGCTTTACCCAAAACTGGTGGAAAAGAACTTAATTGAGGGTAAAAAAAGATCATCCTCCGAAAGCCCTTGAAAGGTAAGCAACCAGTCAGCAAACATTTGAAAAATGGATTAGAGAAGTAAAAGTGCTCGTAAAGGTAGGCAACCCCAGTGCATGTGCATGGCTGATTGGTTGCCTATCTTCTAGGAGCTTTCAGAGGACGATTTTTTACCCTGCATTTAAGTGCTGTTTCATCAGTTTTTGGTAACACACGTTATTCACCTCAAATTTCACAGGCTTTCACATGGTGCAGTTGGAACTCAAACATTTTCATTGAATTAAAAGTTAAAGCCATTTTCAATGTACATATGTTGCCTACCGTCTTTCCACTAGATCGTATGCATTTGAAACCACAAATAATGATATGTTTGCTAAAGATTAGGTACCTGTAGCAAATTCAATTTTCATTAGCATCTGGCGTTTGGTTTCAGAGTAATGGGCAAATTTCGGGGGAAAATCCTCTATTTTGACGGGCCGAAGCGTCGCAAAAAATCATTTTCAGAAAAAATTCCATGAAAGAAGAAAGTCTTATTTTGAACCCAAAAATTGATCTCTGAAGTCTGGGGCATGAACCCTGGGGCACCCTGTATGGGTATCCATTCCGCGGACCATATTCCGCAAAGATCACGAAAACCACGAAATCTTTGTTCTCACCATTTTTTTGTCCCATGACCAACTCGCTATGAGATATTTGCTTACCAAGTCATAATAACTATGTTATATCCCTCTACTTAACTTTCTGAAGGATTATTTCCCCCAACTTTGGAACCAACCAGTTTAAGACATAATATGACTCAGATAGGAGAATAAATGCTGGATTTTTAATGATTTCTTAAACTATGTTATTAATTTCATATTCAATGAAAATTAATATGATTTCTGGTCGTGAAACGTCAGTTGCAGTATTTCTGCTCCGTAAAATTGTTTTTACTTCCTAATCATCACTTTGCAACCTTTCTGTCACGATATCAGAAGCGCTAACATTGACAAGTGAAATATAAAATGATCTTTCTGGGGCTCAGGACTTTAAAAATTTCAATTTTAAACTTTTTGAAAAATATCTATCGTCTGTTGTTGTCCAACTCCTATGTCCATGTTCTAATTTATGGTAAATAGTTCCCTACATGCATATCGGATAAATCATGTTGAATACGTTTTGAACCAATTTCTAATCTAAAAATGTTTTATGAAGATTATTAATTGTGCAAGTTTAAAAATTGCTCTATCAGTTGATCAGTGCTGCAGTCACGTAGCCGTTCTTTCCTCCCTCACCCCTCCCCCCCATCCTGTGTGGGTTGCGTTTTCCATCTGACTACCAATCTACGAATGCACTTTGCCGTGCGTATTTTCAAAACGCGCCTCAAGCTTGCAATCTTAGCTAAGGTCCTGAAGCTAATGTCAATCATGATTTGTTACAGGGCGAGGTAAATTTGAGTTAGCATGGGCTAACGAAGAAGATGCTGGTATCCTTGTCTCCCCAACACATCCTCATACATGCCAACCAGATTTTGACTATAAATACGTCTGTACCTTCCAGAGACATCTACTGCACTACGCATACCACAATCCATCATTGCAGCCGATGCAGATTTGGTGCAATGTTTCTCGCGAGTAAGTACATATAAGTTGATAAGAGAACTGGGAAGCTTCAAGATGTTCTTTCGTTATAAGGGTTCTCTTTTATTGTTTAGCAAATCGACCCGTGGCAATCTTTCAGTCATCATTTAAGAACATTCTCACCTCAGATTGGTCGTTTGTTGTCATTATTGTGGACTTAGAGTGTAGGTTTCACCACTGGTTGACTGGTGCATTGTACTGAAGAATCTTTTGGTCAGCTCTGATCACTGATCAAAGTGATCGGTGGTAGCAAATCCACTGGTGGCGTCTCCTTTGGTTGTGACGTCAGCACCAACCAATCTTTTAATGAATGCAGCTTGGTGATGAGTGGCACATTGGTACCATGAACGAAAAACTCTTGATAACTTAATTATACTTAACTGAAGTTAACCAAAGTTCCTAGGAACAGAGAAAACAGGGTATGTCAGAGAGAGGAAATGTGCAACTGGGATGGTCTTGAATTTTTGCACCAGATCATAATTTTTTGCAGAATTTCATGGGACTTGGATACTATCAAAATTCCTAGCAGGAGGGAATTCTGGGAAAACTGAGAATTTCAATGAATCTAAACGAGTCTGGAAAGTAAATCTGCATCCACAATTTTCTATTCAATTGTGTGCATTTTTTCTTATTTATTGGTCAATTTACGATCCATGGAGCTGAAAAGCTGCAAGCACTCGGAAGCCTACTTCATTTACAATTTGAAACAAAATTCTTCCTATGTCTCAAATAATTCACTTTTAATCAACAAATGTTATTTTAAGAAAGCGTACCAACTTGGGATGAATGTAAGCAGTATGGGGTTCCAAAGTGTGAATGTCATTTTCTCATTTTGACTCGCATTAGTCATTGTATTTTCACCGAGTGTGAAATTCTCAGTTGGCTTGAGTTTTAGAGAAAGAGCTGTTATGTCATTATAACTTCTTTTCCTTCTTTTTAGGTACAGCAAAGAAATTACAGGGCGCGCTCACCTACACAAAATGAGGAGATCCATCAACAGAGAGAGGGCCAAACATCAGGCAACTCTACCTAGAACTTTTGAGGAATTGGAGGTAGAACTTCAGAGGAGCTCCTTAGGGAGGACCCTCGACGAAGGCAATCCAGTTTTCTTCCAAGAGGTAAAAAAATCCCTAAAATTGATCTTTTCTGCATTATAAATTGTATGTGGAACAATAAAGGTCCTTTAAATGGATCATCTAACCCCAGTTATTTCATTTTCAATCCTAAACGTGTTAAAATAATAGATCACCTGCTAACTAACACTGATTTTTTTTGGAATAAAGAAGTAAGAGAGAAAACAGCGTTTGAAAAATCCTAAAAATCTGAAGAACTATATTGTACAAGTGGCAGGACAATGGCTGAAGTTAAGTTTTGTGCTACTTCTATCCAATTATTGTTTTCCGTCATCGCTTGCAAGATGGCAATCCTAATGGTTTTGTATAGAACTACTGATTTATGATGATATATGAGCTAGATTCAATCCACTTTTGAGAGGTATTAACCTCCCTTCAGTTTCATTGGTCACATTTTTTAATCATGACAAAAAAAAAAAAATCATAAACTGATAAATGTACACAACTGAGGAGAGTCAATCTATGACAAAGCAGCCACACTGGCATGCTTTGCTCGCTTTGCGTCCAGCCAGGTGAAGCCATCTCGACCACCGTTCACTCTTACGGCTCGCTGTGCATGCCTCATGCTGTGTTGTAAATAAAGAAGGTGATAATTTTATTGATCAGGCTGTAACCCATACCTATAGGCCCTTTTTTCGTGAGCTATGCATATAATATAATTTTTATTGTTTCCAGGAAAAATCCTACCACTCCATTTTAAAATCTATAAAGAATCAAGCTTCACCTCGTTTCAGAAAACATATCCCTACATCGACGGCGTAAGTCTGCAATCACATATCTCGTTTGCGGTGTCTGAAAATCTCCGCCTCTGTTATTTTTAAAAAAAACAAATTTACATCACTTGGAGTTAATGCAGAATTTCCTTTGCACAGAGAAGAAAAATCACGGCAGTTTTAAAGAATTGCCGTTGAGTACTTTTCTGCTCAAGAGCTTAAGTATGGCAGGAAGTCTGCAACGTCGCAAACCGAGTTATGTGATTGCTGACTTACACTGTCGATATATTTCTCCTTTTCAGTTACTGCTATAATTATGTGAGAATTTTCCCTAGTGTTATTTTAGACGACATACAGTAGTAGGAATTTGTTCACAAGTCACTCATAATTGCTGCAAAGAACTACCCCTTTGTCAACCGTAAAATGGTTGAAAGAGTTTGAATTTCCGTGATCAGAGGGACCCCACACATAGGAATACCTTTACTCAGTCACCTTCTCTTTTTGCAGAGGCAAGAAATACAAGACCAAGGGGAGAATCTAATTTTCTACAGCCAAGGAACTGCAGAGGAATTCTTCGCAAGAGGAAATGGACTGTACCACGTTGATGCTACGTTCAAAGTGGTCCCCAGGACTTCAGGATGTACACAGCTACTCGTCATATTTGGCGTCAAAAATGACCATGTAAGTTTGTTTTCTCATGGAACTTTCTTCATATTCTGGGCAATCTTTCTATTTTGCTGTATCGTAATTTTTTTCCTACCCTCTCAGCCCTCTAGTATGTTGAGTCCCTCATACTTTGCTCCCTCTGTTCTCACAGAAAATGACTTGAGTCTAATATTATAGGATTATTAGCAGTGAGCACTGAAGATTTTGTGGATTAATGTGTGGAATCTAAATCATGACTTTTTTGCTCCATGAAGGTATCCCTTGCAGCAAGACAGAAAACCTACCATACTGATCTACATTATTTACTTGTCTTATTTACTTTTAACAGGCTGTTCCTGTAGTTTTTGTTTTAATGAGGCGGAAGACCAAGGCTGCATATTTGCAAATTTATAACCACCTGAAAAGCAAGTTCCCCGAGATGAATCCCCGGACGTTTATAACAGACTTCGAAACTGGCATGCAGGAAGCTATCAGGGAATCCTTCCCCAATGCCAGCATAGTGGGCTGCTGGTTCCATTATGCTCAGGTGAGGATATCAAGGTCACATCCCGAAACAATTGTTCAATGTTGCATTGTTGCTGTAGATTTTCAGTATGACTAGTATACATAATCTTCTTTTTGCATGGTTAATTGAGGCAGTGGTTGCTATAACAGCATAGGCAGGAAAACTTTTGTTCTGAGAAAAACGCATTTCAAGATGTACCTTGTAAATAATAAGTTGTGCTTTTTTGAGAAACACTGGATGTTTTTTTAATATTTGAAGGTTTGAACCCTTCCTAAAGCGTAGTCATGCATAAATTTATCAAATAATTTAATTCTGTGTGATTTGTAATTTTTTTAAAAAAAGCGTGTTATATGCTGCTTTTGCACCTAGCAATTGAACTTGCAGAAATTTGAGAGTAAAATGAAATTATGATGAATCTTTAACATGATTATATTAAATGCTAATGTAAATACTGTAATCCTAAAGGAAATCAGCTTCTAAAAATTAAAAATTTACCAAACAAAGCAAGTCCTTTAAGCTTAATGAAAGTATGAGATCTATGGAAAAAATGAAAATAATGCAGCTTATCCAGAATTATGAAAAAGAAACTGAATTTAAACCAAGAATTTCCTGCTCACAACTTCATTTACAGGGAATTTAGTAGTCATAAATTACCATAGAATCGCTGTATAATCATAATATTTAATGGGGTGATACTTCTCGATTGCAGCATTCAACTTCGCTGTTGGGCGCAAAAACTACATTTGCTAGTGTATGGCATTATTTCTGAGGCTACTCAATTGTTACCTATTGTTTGATTGGACACCATTTAATTATTTCTTTCAGTTAAGGATTTTCTTTGCTGTGTGACAAAATTTTGAAATTGAGGACATTTTTTGAATAACTAAGCACTGCAAGCAACGTTTGTAGTTTCAAGCTAAACGCATTTGAAACCTTGAAAGTCAGTATTTTCACAGAAGTAATTTTCCTCTAAAATAATCCTTATAATGGCGAAAGGCAAGGCTGCGTTATCATCAAACAATACCATCTTGATAGCGTTTCATACATACATGTGGTTAACAAAGAATGAAAGATGGAGGGAAAAGAGGAAAAACAGTTTGAAATTAAATTTTGGTGCCAGCTGTTACGTGGGAATTATGAGATGAATTTAGCAAAGACACTGAATGGTGAGGCATGATTTTGATAATCCCTCCTTCACTCATTTGTTTATGTAGGTAGATGTTTCTGTCCTCAGGTGTCTATTATTGGTAAATCTAACTTTCTAAGATGAAATGCTTTCCTTTCAATTTTGCAGAACATTTTGAAGCATGCTCGCATGCTGGGTCTCACTCCGATACTTCTAGAAGAGGCTGCTGCAAAGATTTTTAGTTTGTTGCTAGTGCTTCCATTATTACCCCCCAATGAAATCCTGAGTGGGCTAGAGGACGTAATTAAAGCAGCGAAGGATGCAAATCTCGGTGAAAAACTTAAGCCTTTAACGGACTACATCAGTGAAACCTGGATCCACGGTATTTGTCCTTTTCCATTAAAAATCTTTTAAGGTATCCCAAACTCACCTATATCGGGTTTTGTTGAAAAGAGTAGCACTAAAAGCAGGAGTTTGGCAAGTTGGGAAGGGATCTCTGTGGGGGAAACTCTTCCTCACTTCAAAGGGGCAACTTTGTTGTAACCTCTCTTTCAGTTTAAATCCACTCTCTGAGCTGTCGACTCCCACTACATGAATTTAGCCTGTACATCCAGGAACTTTTTCCTGTAAAGGAAAATAGAATAAGATAGTTTCGCAGACTGCATCGGATGCAAATTTTCAGTTTTTATGCAGGCGAGTGCACCTTTCTATTATCCTAAAAGCAGGGTGTTGTTTTTTATGGAAAAAGAATCCTAAATCTACAAACTTAATTCAAGTTGTGGAGGCCATACATCTGGAAGAAATTGTTCTTGTATCTCATGCAGTTGGATACGATTGTTTGTAGTGCTGGGTGCTTTTAACAGAACTTGTCTCTGCCTTCACAGAAATATTTCATTTCGAAAATTCAGTATATTAAGTGGCTGTTGTAGCGTTTACCAGTTTTCCTTTCCATTAGATGCTTTTGAGCAAAATGCTTTTGTTAATGCCACTTATAGGTGGCATGTCTTGGAAGTGTAACAAATGGAACCTGAAACTAATCAGTTAAAGAAAGTTTATGAAAACCGTCATCAGTGCTCTAATACATAGGTAGTACAACAGTCATTCTACCCGAATGCTTCTGCTAAAGTGTTTTCAGCCCAGCACCAGTTAGTTAGCTATGAACTTGTTCAAATCGCAGAATCGCGCCTCTGTGCAAGCTTAACTGCTCATTTCGGTTTTTATACTGAACATCATTTGTGTAAGTAACCTAATCCCAAGAGAAATGGAAGTTACAAAGATTGATGACTTGAAAATGCTGCAGCACCTCTGACATTCTGATCCTCGATAAAGTCTAAGTTACTTTCTACAGCATTTAAATTTTACTTTACTTATATTTTGACGTTTTCAGGCATTGGTACGGAGTTTTTAAGTGTATGGAGGCAACCACAGCGGACTAATAATAATTCTGAAAGTTTTGCTGCCCTGTTGTTATCTTTCATACGGGCAAAACCTGGACTTTGGGATTTTTTCAGTAAGTGTGGTACTTTGCCATTAAATCTCTTCGATTATCACTGCACTGTATGGCTTAACAAACCTGTAAAAATTCAGGTGTTTCATATCTTGCATGGATAACGAATTTCAAGGAATTCCTTGCACGCTACTTCCCAAAATGATAATTTTCTTTGAAAACTATGAATACTGACTTCTTTCAAAAATCATTTGGGTACCAAGCATTTAAAAATTATAAATAAAGCAGAATAACGAGATAAGATGCTGAGAGATGTATGTTTTGTTTTTGAAAATCGAATTTTTTGCCTATTTAAAGAGTTGAATCATCAGCATCTGAAAAGGACTCGGAAAGTAATTTAGATTGCAACATAAAAGTTCACCCAAATTTTGCAAACTCTTTTTTCGGGTGCGCATAGTATCGAATCACATGAAGAAAATTGCCATGGAAAATCATGGAAATCATGGAAAAATACCTTCTGCCAAGATGTATTTGGTGATGTGGGAGGGGAATGCCAATCGCTGTGGGATTTATGGTGTTTGCTTTCATCAAAATTTGCAACTTTATGATTTCACTGCTATTTTTTGATGCGGTAAAGATATTTGGATATTGTTGTGACTACCTCACTAGAGTAATTTCAAAAGATCAAATGAAAGCTGAGAAAAATCTTCATCAAATACGATTTTACACAGTGAAAAGTGTCCATGGAAAGTTTCATGCTATGTTGTTTCCGTTGAAAGTAATGTGAAATTTTCTTTTGATTGTAGGTAAACTGCAAGATATAGAGCATTTCTATGCAAGCCTGTTGGAAGGAATGCGCCAGGGAAACATAGGTGTCCGCCCACAGAAAATGAAGTATGTAGTTCAAGATGGACGGATTCGAACAGCTTCAATTGCACTAGAAAGAGGACGCATCAGCCGCATGGACTTTTTAAATGCAGTGAAATATGTCACTAAGACACTTGTAAACGGAGAAGTTGAGAAGGCCAAAAAGAGAGGATCAGTTGAAGAGGAAGCAGACGATAATGATGAGGTATCAAGAATTATTTAGTATCAATTTTATATCTCCTTATCAGTATGATCTTGAAAGGAAAGGGAATGCTGGAGTGTGAAGAAGATGCGTTCTTATTCTTTGCATCGAAAGCTCTAGAATTGTATCCCAATTTTCAATTCCTTGTAAGTACCTGATTTTCTACATGTATGGTCCAAGTAGTTGAGAGCCCTACATTTTTTGTATTTTTCAGTACATATTCCAATTTTTAGAGTCAAAGTCAAAAATTATAATAATAAAAGCAAAGTAACAGCAATATTAAATGAAAGAAAAAGCAAAACCAAAACAGTTTATTGCAATATAACCGTTGGGGATTTTTTCGTGGCCCTTCCTCATATACCATCTGGCGAAGATTCACCATGGCCTGGATAGGCCTGTTTTATCTAATTGAATAATCCATATCATTGAGAGGTATCGATTTTTGAAGAGGGGAAAATGCGAAGGCTCATGAGTGAAGTAAATAGAGTCCTGATATTTATTCAGATTCCGTTTTCGTATTCGTCGTTTTAATCTGCATAGTAAGATTGTTGGATGCTTAATAGAAAAATTTCCTTATTACAACTGTCGACTAGTTTTGCCCTATGAATGAAAAAAGGGAAAATGATGCTTGGTCATGGTTGGTTTTTCCTTGAAGTGTCTTGTAAGTAATTTTGCAAATTTAACTAGAAAGTAATGTAATTAATAAGGCATTTGTTTTCAGATTATTGGACAGGTTGAGCCTCCTGTGGGTCGTCCATTTGTGGAAGCACTTGAAAAATTAGGTAAGTAAACAGTATACAGTATTAAGTTTATGCCACTACAATTGGATTATGATTATTTTCAAAGGTTTTTTAGGTGGTGCTGGTACAGTAGCTACCATACTGTAGAGTATGCTGAGGGTATGAATCTGAAAAGAAATCTGTACATTATTCTCATTATATAAAAAACTTTATATTATTTAAGAAGTCGACACAATCTCTTTTTCATACCTATCTGAAATGAAATTATTTCATTCGCTTTCTTTTAAAAAAAAAATTCAAAATCTCCATACTGGCCGGAATGTTCTCTTCTAGTAACATGACCTGCAGCAGTGCTGTGGCTAGTTTTAGCACCGAACCTAACGTAAAGTGTGTTTCTAAGAGGTCAATTTGAAGGAAGTGTATATGAGAACCTTTCTTGCTTATACCTATGTCAACAGCATTCAGACAGTGCGATTCTTGTTTTGTTTTAAAAGCATCTGAGAACACTTTCGCCGAACATTTATATGCCAAAGAATTCAGAAGAATAGAGAAAAATATTTATATATATATGCAGATAATGTGAAGCAATTTTCAGGACAGGGTGTATAGTTCTCTGCCAGCTTAGCAGTTAAAGGTATGCACAATTTTAGCAATGTAAATAAGGTTACCATTTGTTGTTTGGTTCGGAAGGTCATCATGAACAAATGTATACCTCACAAAATTGTATGGTAGAATGATTACAGAGTGAAGAAACTTGGTGGTTTAACATATTAAAACCTATCCTAATGGAGTAAGTTGAGAAAATAAAGTTTTTTTCCATAGATGTTATCCAGATGATTGCTGCATGACACTTAAACGATGACATTTTAAAATTTTAAATGCTTACCAATTTTGATTTGGACTATTCTCAGGCAGCACAAGAAGATTTTCTGGAAAACGAGGCATCTCTGGAAAAGGCCGTCTACAAAGGGGAATTTCTAGACCGGCTCCTCTGCGGAAAAAGACTTCTCATCGGCAAAGAAGGAAAGCTGTACCGAGAGGTGGCATAAAAAAGCATGCTAAGAAGCCCATGTTGAATAAAGGTAACAGCATTAGAAGCTTCCTCAAATGCCTGAAGTAGAAGCATGTAGGTACTTTTCCAAACCAAAATAAAATCCTGCTCAAGCTTGTCAATGTAGCGGAGATATTTGTACCATTTTGCGAAAGAATTGGAGGTTTCAAGCAAAGAATATTTCTGGCCATCAAGCTTTTGAAATTTATTTTCAGACAGGAAAGACTCACTTTGCATTGATCCAACATCTGTGAGTAGAGTTTTTCTTTCTTGAGAGCCTGCTTTTAAGAAGTCCAAAGACGTGAAAGAGTTTCAAACGCACTGGAATGACGGGACAATGATGGCAGTGAAGCACTGTGGTTTCCACTGATGTTTGTTATAATAAAACTTACTTCAACGTAAAGTTGTTGCTTGATGTACATTTCCGTTTTTATGAAATTTGACCGGTGGCCAGTTTGTCAAAATTCAAGAGTTTGACTTGCGGTTTGCGCCAAAAATTGTCTTTTTTAATTCTCTTTGAATTGATGTGTCACGAAGGGGATGTTGCCATTAGAAGAAAAAGTTAAGGCCCGTAGCCCCGCCTGCGGGGGGGGGGGGTGAAAAGTTTGGGGGGCCCTGAAAATAGCTTACATAGATCATTGAACATTCCCGAAGTTTTGTTTCAAAATATTAATTAGGTAAAATTTTAGAGGGGGTGGAAGGGACTTTTGATGTAGTTTGGACTTTGCTTCTTTTTTTCATGTACAAGAAGTAGAAAGACTTTTGATGGATGTGGTAGAGGTTAGTGCTCGTTTCTGATTCGTGCTTAATGACATCATTTGGTTTGATGCAAAACTGGGGCGTTTTAAATTTGCAGGAAACTTGCGCTTTTTGAACTGCGCAGTCCTCAGTCTCTAAGTTATTTTATTGTCTTTTAAATGTGCGCATCTTGTCCTATGCGTCATTTACCTTCAGAAAAATGTATTCGCATGTTAAAATTTGTTCATGTTCTAATGACCCATTTAGTTCAGCTTCATGAAAAGGTTGAATGCATTAGGTGTAAAAAGTTTTTCAACTTAGATGTTGTGTTTTTTAATACAGAAGTTCTCGTTTTTGACCGTCCTGAGCCCATAATTGAACCTGTTCCTCAAGGATCAAAAGATAACCCTGATAATGGTCTAAGAGTTGTTAATGCCAGAAAGAAGAGCTCAATTTTTTTAATGTTTGGAAATACTGCTGAGGTAAGATTTGAAGTTATTTTGCACAATCTCATTCTTTCAAAATTAAGTTTCCTTTTAAGCACTTCATGAGCAAAAAAGGGAGAACTTTTTTTCTCAACAAAGGAATGCAATGGAACCTTCAACAATCCATGATCTCTTGCATTTTACACGATGAATGCTCGCAGTGCTTGCTAATCTGTTTACTATTTCTTAATAAGTTAATTTTGAAGTGGCAATGAACTTCCAAGAAGTCGGCAAAAGTCATAGAAACTCTCCTCCCTTGCCTGGAAATTCTTGCTGTGATGTGCAACCAAAATCGCGGAATGGATCAATTTGACCCACTTGATGATCCTAGTATTTATTTATTTAAGTTTCTATATTTTCAATTCATTTTTCCCATTTTTCAATCTTATTAGTTATTATTCTCTCAAACATAGGAAAAATCAGAAACAAAGAAGGCCTCTCTTCCTGCTGCATCTTTAGCTATCGAAAATGGACCAATGAATCATGCCGATCAACTAAGCCGAGAACATTTTATTGGAACAGTACATAAAATCGACGGAAATCTTAATACAGGTAAAAGCACAACAATTTAAGATAGATTGGAAAAAAAAATTTAACATTCCTCTCCCATAAAAACAAGCTTCTATCTCTTGTAGGACGGCAGAAAATCCAAAATCTAGGACATATGAGATAAAAGGATCCTCATCTTAAACAGTAAAGCAAGGAAAGTAGGTAAAAGCACGCAGATTAGAAGCTGCCATTGTATATCATTTCATCTAGTCCAGCAAACCAACCCTTTTTTGGTTAGCTGGTGGCACTCATTACAAACGATCGAAAAATAAAGTAAGACAGGTGAGCAAGCTTATGACCTCTCCTTGTGTAGAGCATCTATGCCTCCCACATTTCCTGTATGAAAAGGAAGATTTGAAGATTTGTGTGTGAAGGTGAGGGTGTGTGTGTTTGTATTTGTGTCTGTCTTTTTGCCTTGCATCAGGTCAGCTTAGCAAGAAATAGACGTATGGTGATAGGAACCCAAATCTAATGCAAACAAATCAGTATTGAAGTAAATGTGAAAAATACATTTGACATGCCGTATCTCAACGCATGCTAACAAATAGAAAATTTATGATATGGCACAAGAGGCTGACAGAATGATTGCACATCACAAGGAATGAGCACAGCACGTTGCCAGGAATGTACTTTAAACTCTGAAATCAAAGATGTGGAAGAAATCTGAAATGAAAAATGTTAGAAGGCTAAATTAAACTGATATAAATGTAGAAAGAGCCATTGTTACCCTACGTACAGTGAATGTTCTCCTCTGACAAATCCATTTCGAAGTAAAACCTACATTTGCATTCATAATACATCAATTTTAGCTGTTAGTGTTACTTTAATTCATCATTCTACCTTATGTCACAGCAAGATGTATGGAGCCGGCTATGACAAATTCTACCTTAATTCCTGAGGCACATACTCCAGCAAGTTACTCGGAGCATCACTTATATGATTATTCTCAAGGTTGGTCCCGATGATCATTATTTTCCTCCTCAAGTACAAGTGGTATCTTAACCCCCTGATCTTATCGTTTGCATAAGTGATAAGTCTTGGTCAACTACTTGGCCCTGCTAAACAAGAATGCTACTACAGCCCGAGAAATTTCCTCTAAGTTAAGCTAGTAAGCTCTATTATGCTCTTACCACCAGTGAAGTCAGAAGATGTGTTTTTTTAAAAAGAAAACTTTGGAAACCTGGCGTTATGACCAAAAAGTAAACTAGACCATTCAGGTATTCTACGTTCCTCAAAGAGGCTACGAGGTTAAAAGGTTGTTTCACTCATGTGCAGCACCATGCATTTTACCCAAATTGTATGATGACAATTATTTAAGTACCTGTATATGAAGCGAATTTTGTTCATTATTTTTGAATCAAATTTTCTCACTGAAGACCATTTTTGGCCAAAATTACAGAGGGTAATAACTGAACTTTCTACAAAACACAATAATCTCAGAGAGATTTTCATGATTTTAAACCAGTATTTATACTTATATAATCACTATTGTGTATGCACTCATGTACAAAGGGCTTCATATCACCAATTTTTGACAAAATAAGCTCAGAAAGATCTCCTTAAATTGTAAGTTTCTTTTCCTCAGAGTCATCTGTGGAGTACATGTGAATACATGTGACAAAACATAAGGTTACACCCAAGCTCTAAGCTGCAGTGCTACTTAAAGTGTCATGACCTCTCAAAAAGAGAATTATAATTCTTCTGAGGCCTTCTTCTAACAAAGTGCAAATAAGATACTTGTAACAACAAGATATGTACCATCATTATATTTCATCTTTTTGTTATCAGGTAGCGATACACAAAGTGCTTCAAATTTCAGCGATACACTAACTGCTTCAGAATTTAGCGAAACTGCTTCAGAATTCAGCGATACTGCTTCAGCATGCTCAGAGGCTCCAAATGCAGTCATTGATGCCCTGTTCGCTGAAGCAGGTCCAGTGCTAGAGAGTTGTTCAGGTAAGAAATAAATACTTTTTTTAATGATAGAATAATTGCAGAAAGTTCTCCTTCTATTAATAGTACTCATTAGCAGTACTTGGTAGTATACTCTTAGTATTGCTCATTTTCCATGATTATCATTTGACAAATCCCTATTTTAGAAGAAACAAACCGTATCTCCTTTGGTGATCTGAGAAATCGAGTAAAAACAGTTTTTACATTATATCACGCTTTGTAAAAACTCTCATAATTCTTCTTAAAAACGTGCGGTGGAACCTCTCTGAATTAAAGCTTAAGGGAATGCAACAAAAACTGAATGAAATGAATGTTCCGAAAGGGGAGGTTTTCAAGTCAAGGAGGTCAAAAAAGTGACGGTTTTATGCTGAACTGATGATTAATGTTTCCTAATATTTATGAAACTGGTTAAATTTCCTAACAAGGGTAAGTGTTTACCGCTGCACCAAATGCAATTGCTTTACTGCAGTATTTTTACACACAGCAAACTCGTATTTTTTGTTGTACTTCGAAGAGCCACAACGTTCTGCGTCAATTTTGGTCTCGAAATCTCAAGATTAAGGAGTGTGGAAAAGATTAAATGTTCAAAGCTGGAGAATTGTTCCATTTAAATTCTAGTCATTTTCAACGCTACTTCTGCTTCTTACTGAAAACTAGTGGTGAAGAAAGGTTCCCCGTCCTCATCATCATCAGAATTTTGTCATCAATACCGATGGCTAACAGAATTATTCCCTCATCAGTCATTGATCCACAACAGACAAGGCGATTGCTAAGACCTTTCAAATCTTTAAAAGTGACTCATTTCCAAGTCTGAGAATTTGCCATAAGCTCCCATGCAGTTGCACAGCTATCAGAATCAGCAAGCTTATGTTTGGAAAAAGATCCTATTTTTTGAAAAATATTTTGAACCATCCACTACTTGCTGTAAAATTCGAATGACAGAATCTTTTTGCAATGAATTTGGCGTTTTCTGGAATTATAGGACCATTAATACATGGATTGCATTTTGTAAAAAGAAATCAAGAGCACTCCCATGGCGTTAAGATTGTGCAACTTTTTTTACCTCGCAAATACAAACTGATCATCTCAACAAATTTAATTTTTACTCCCAATAAACTAAAAATTCAAGACAAAATGACCTTAGTATATTTAATTTATTGCACGATTTCGGCTCCATTGCGGCGATATTGACAATTCTCCAGCTTTGAACATTTAATCTTTTCCACACTCCTTAATCTTGAGATTTCGAGACCAAAATTGACGCAGAACGTTGTGGCTCTTCGAAGTTATCAACGAAAGTAAGTTGCGCAATCCTAGCACATTTGAACATTTTTGGTTCCTTTTTGAAAAATGCAATCCACCTCATCTCTCAATCATTTTTTTTTCCTGCTTAATCTCCTAACTTGTTGAAGCACCTAAGCACTGAAAACTCAAAAAAACAATACTTTTGACTCATGAGGGACCTGGGCCCAACCGAGGAGAAAGTAAGAGGTTCTGGTCTCTGCGATCAAACTTGTAGCAAGTGGGAATAAGATTTGCAGTGACATCACAGCTGTGCATTCTATAAAAATCTCTTGAACAATTTGTACCTATTTTTTCTGTTTTTCATTTCATCATAAAGATGAAGATTTTTAAAAATTTGGTCACTGGATACATTCCTCTTCACCCCGTCATGATGTGCAAAATTTGGGTTCCTGAGAGGTGTACAGTCCGGGCCTTTTCCCGCAAGCCCAACCCGGCCCGGCCCTGGCCCAAGGTATAATATTATTAACTACAATCAGAGCCCCATCTCCTCAACGCCAGCCCTGAGCAAACGTTGTTTGAGACAATCACAATTGGGCTGCTTAATAGAGCATTGAACCCAGGACATCTTAATCATTGAGCCAGTGCTACAACTAATACAGCACACGAGTGACCAAGGGAGGCTTGTTGAGAGCAGGAAAAAATTAGAGAGTGTATGGAACCTCTAGGTGCTGTATGTACTCTGTGAAACTTTTCTCCGTGTTTCAATAGTAAGATCAAAGTTACATAAAGATTAACTTAGAATCACCATTCGGATTTTATAATGCAAAATATTCAGCATTGTTACAATGTCTCCAAAAATAAGTTTTTTTTTAACAATTAATACTCAGCGATCCATTCTCATCAGTTCCAGGTGCTGGTGAAAATATTCAGCCTGATCAACAGCAGTCCGCCTCCTCTTATTTTGCAGCTTTCAACCCCGAAGAAGATTCAGGTATTAATTTAATATATATATTTTCAATGATGATTGATTGAATTTTGACAGGATTACCTTGATTATGCGTTCCACACCTAGTAGCTATATAATATCTTATGCATAATATCTGAAAACTGAAAATGTGGCTTTCTCATGGGGCACTGTGCATTTTGTTCACTTAAATTGGATGAGACTTATTCAATTAGATTTAGAGCCAATTTGGTACTTTACTTCTGAAGAAATTCCATAGGCTAGGAATCAAAAACACAATATGTAAAAACAAATATTAAAGAAAGTGTGTGCCAGAAACGCATAAAAGTTTCTCTCCATCCTTAGTACTTCAAAACTTTTTGTTTGTTGACTTTTCTTCCTTGTCATTCCTTTTTCCTTCTTTGCCTGTAAATATCTGGGAAGCTTTCCTTCAATAGAAGAATTTGCATGATTATTACTTTCCTTATTTTGTTGCTGCAGAAAATTAATGCCACGAATTAATTTTTCAGATGAAGCGGTCCCTCATGTTGATGAAAGCCGATTGGTCCCTCCCCAGTCCAGTGCGAACAGCCGAGATGAGCTCTTAAACTTGATGTACGAGGAGGCTCAAGAGGCCGGTTCATTTCTGGCTAATGGCTCCGGTGAGAATTTTCCAAGTGATGTGCCACCTCATATTGATGAAAGCCTGTTGTCCCCTCTCCAGTCCAGTGTGCCAGATGATCCAAATGAGCTCATCAACATGATGTATGAAGGGGCCATTCAATTTCTAACTGATGACTCCAGTGAGAACTTTTTAGGTGATGTGCTCCCTGAAATTGATGAAAGCCAGTTGATGCCTCCCCAGTGCAGTGCAGTCCAGCCCAGTCCAGTGGATCAAGATGAGCTCGTCAAACCAGACAAGGAGACTCAAGAGGCCAATCCAGCTAAAGACTCCGGTGAGAATCTTTAGGGAAAACACATTCCTTGTATATGTATAAACTCTAGTATTCTACCAAACTAAGTAAAAACGCTGTATGAGCATTCAAATGTTGCCAAAATTCTCCTCAGAAAATATTATATTTTTAAGAAAATTATCAATATTTTTCCTTGAAATCTTCAGACTTTTTAGATCAAATTACGAACAAAATCCTCTGAAAAATCGGTGAGGAAGTATTCTAAAATTTTCCTAAAAACTCGTGATTTATCGAAGGAAATTTGGCACTACTTAATGGCTCATATGGTGTTCTTGCTTAGCACAGCAGTATTGTTGAGTGATTAATATTCTGTCTGATAAAAGCAGGTTGCAGAAACATTGTCATGTCTCTGTTAAAATTTATGTTGCAACGGTGTTTTCAACAAGTTCTTTTGACTTTTGTTATATGTATGAGGTGACTGACATGTACCTATTATTGATGAATCAATAAGAAGGGTGGTAAGTTGATATGTTGACCAGATATTTGGTGGACTTTTACAATTTTTACGAGAGAAAAGGATTGAAAATTCGGAAAATTAAATCTGAGTTAAAGACAGATGAAGCACATGAATCTGAGCTCTACCTCTCTAGTTTGTAGTAGTAGCTTTAAGGGTCAGGCATAAGTTGGAACCCGGCTTATATTTTTTTCATATTTTTTAAAAAAGAAAATCCATTGAGAAGTTATCAAATGATAAACATTGATGAATGTTCTTGTAATATTTTCTGAAGGCTCAACATTGCAACTTTATTACGAGATAAAATTTCAGTCATTTATTATGTGGTGGTCAGTCGCGCTTTGTAAACATGTTACACCATCCCTATTCAAGAAAATTTTTTACCGATGTATGTTCTTAACCTAGATGTATGTATGAAAACAGGCTGTATGAACAAGGAATTAAAGTGTGCTTTCTCTAATGTACATCTTTCTTTTTCAGAAGAACCACCCGCCATTGAGCTACAAGATGGAAGTGAGGCAGAGACTCCATCTGAGTCAGGTAAATTCATTCGCTAACTTATGGATTTTCAAGCGTAACAATGGGAGGTCTCAGTGACTCCACTCAGATGAAGGTTCACGTCAATTTCCAGTTGAAATGTCTACCGAGTGGCCAATAAATTGGGCTTTGCACTGAAAATTGTGGTTTCAATTTGTACCCTGATAATATACGTAGGTAACTCCTCTTGTATTTTATACAGGTAGTACGCTTGTTTTTTCTTCTCTCTCTCTACCACCCCTCCTGTCAAGCTTCCTGTTTTCATGAATTAACAAGTTCCACGAAAAGATCATCGGAATTTCATATTTTTCATTTTTTAAAACATGCCACCTGGAGAAATGAAATATTTTCCTTCCTTATTTAGGTGTTATAAGGTGTGCTTATTCAAATTATTTTAAGGGATATTTTTGCATGTTTTAAAAATAAAATTTATGAAGTGTTCATCATACATTTTTCATAGAACTTGCATGGTCCATGAAATGGTGTAGAGGGATCGAGGGGGGGGGGGGGAGAGTTTGAATGTAATACTTGTATAGAATGCAAGAGTTCCAGATACGTTGAGGCAGGAGTCAAAATCCACAACCTTAAGGGCACAAACCTAGCACTAGCACACTAGGCATCGGCATGGGAAAGAGTAGAGGCAGGATCGATATGTGACAAGTCTTATATTTATGACGTGTCTTACATTTATATATGACGAGATTTATATTTTTACTTTTTTTAAATCACAGCACAAAATTGACTGTACTTGGTGTTTTTTAGTGATTGATTTATATTGGTGATTGTAGGTACCATTGATGAACAGATAGATTGATGTGCAAGCATTCTGTTCAGTTATAAAGTTCAGTTAGGCATCATTAAACAGTAAAATATAAGCAATAGCAAACCTCATATGTGCAATTGCAGCATTACAATGGGACTTGAGACAAGGTTTGAACTGAAGCAATTCATAACAGGGCTCCTCTGCAAAATTTTAAGTAGAAAAAGATTCACTTCTTGGAAAGTTTGAAAATGGGGTGTCAAAAATACAAAAGTATTTAAAATCAACATTACTTGAGTGGCAAAATAACAAATGAGGTATTTCGTACGATTTGTGCTCCATTTGACTTGTGTCGAGTGTATTGTATATGCCTCAAGCTATCAAGCTGTGTATGCTATCAAGCCCAGGGATTTCCCATGGGGTAATTTGCTTTTTATGCAATCTTGTCTGGTAGCCCAATGTGTACTTACATGTATACCTTGCGCAGAAGTTGATTGTTTAAGTTGATTTGTCCTCATCAATTTTTATAAGAGAGTTTGAGAGATAGGCATTTTGCCGGCACGCCCATTAAAGTTGATTTGTCCACATCAGTTTTTATAAGAGGGTTTGAGAGATAGGCATTTTGCCGGCACGCCCATTAAAATCTTTTTAATTGAATTTTGCAGGAGGTGAGGAGACACTTAACTATCTTGAACTGGAGCCATCGGCTTTTGATATGGAAAAGGTTCCATACTTGGGGAAATGTAAGTAATTTTTTCCCCATCACTTTCCCTTTAGACTCCTTTTAAAAGGAAGTTCATTGTCAGCCTTGTTGAAGATGGTACAAAACTAGGTGAAAATATTTTGGTAGTAGAATTATGCTGCCTTTTATGGTCAATAATTTGAGCTCCTGTTCTTCTATTTGCAGCGTGTCTGAAAATTTGGCTGTAAAATTGCAATTTTTTCTCTGTGCAATGTGTGAAAATTGTGTATGATACAAGGACAAATTGTCTCAGTCACATTAAAGGTTTTTGAAGGGAAGAATTAATACTAGGCAAACTGGAACATTAGAAATGAGTTCATGTTTCTATATTACCCTACTTTGGCCAATTAATTTGATTGAATCTTGTCATTGTCTACCAAACAAGATAACTATACTTTATTATGTTAACTAAATAAGAAAATTGATACTCTTGATAGGCCGAACGCTTCAATACTGAAAGGTCCCTCTGTATTTTTTGGACACTGTTGTGGTATCAGCCTTCCCTTTTTCTGTTGAGTATCTCAACCGTGCTGTCTTGTCGCTTGTTTCAGATTTCCTTTTCACATTTTATTCAAAAGCTATCATCCTTTTTTTTTTTTAATATATGTGTTTTTGATACATAAAACTTTATTCTGATTGTCTTCCACTTTTTTTACAGTCTTAACTACAGATGAGATGAGAGCAGGCTTGGCTGCACTGAAGAGGATGAAAGAGTTGATGCGTGCAATCAATGAAATTGAAAATAAACATATAAGAACAATTTTCGATGACCACATGATTCCGCTTGAAGAGCATCCAGGATATTGCGACCTTCAAGCGGAATACCAGGCCATCCAGTCCCGGCTGACCCTGGATAAACCTGGGGAGAATGTTCCTGATGACTACTTTGAAAGTTTCATGCCCCCTGGTAATATTATCATGCCTCATTGAGATAAAATGAAACATCTTGGTTTCGACTTTTGTTCAGTTCTAAATGGTACAACTGTGCTAATTGCAGAATCGCGTCTTGATGGTTGAAAGGTATAAATTAGCAAAAAATAATAAGATCTGTCCTAGCGGGTAGTTTCTACACCCAACAGTAAAGGAGAATATCACTGTTTAAAAAGCATGTTGTATAACATCATCCTCAGGGGCAAGTCATACAATGGTTTCTCCCATCTTGGATTTATCAATTAGTGATGCACACATTTGTGCTAGTTGCTGGAATTAACATACAGATGGAACCAAGGTGAAAGAAACCACAGTGTGTACCATCACAGAGAATGAAATCATACATTGTCTTTTTTGAATGACCAAATCTCCATTACTATTCAACAAGATACTCGGTGTTGGGACAGAGTTTATTTTTTTTACTGATTTTTAATCTGAAATTATCAAAACTCAATTCTGGGACCAGCGCAACTGACCCATTGGAGACCTCATCTCCATTTGAAAATATTGTAACTGAACCTAGTGTTCGGATAAATACCGCAGCTGACAGGCAGCCATATCCTTTAAAATAATCAACCTCTAAATCTGAAAGAATTTCTGTGAAACATGCAGAAAATCAAAACATTTTGCACTATTATCATTCTTAAAACATTGAATAGGAGACAGGATTTCTTTGAATCTTTTTTTTCCTCTCAAAGTAAACTTTTTGTTTTTCGAGAACAGTATTTTCCATTGTCTTTCATCGGTTGAAAAGTACTCATTATTCCTCATAATGTGTTCCGAAATATACCTCAAACAGCGTTCAAGAGAGGCAACAATACGATAGTTTTCTGAACTGAAAAAGCTCACCATCAAACCTCTCTTCTCGGAGAGTTGCACATGTAGGGGGGCCTGCACCACCAACTGCGCCTTTTGGCCGAGAAATGTACATTCTGCCCTCGTAGTAAAACAGGTTTTTTCAAAGATTATCTCATTTTATATTATCAAATTATAGGAACTGAATATTTTTCTAATTTTATTCTATCTAGCCGGAATTGACAGGTATCTTAAAGTAATATTGGTGGAAATTTTTCAGGAATGTAGTAATTACTAGATTGTAAGTCGGTTTGGTAGTCTATTTTAAAATTATAATTTTTGGCCAAGTTTTTGGGAAAAAACTGTAAACAAGTTTTGCAAATTTTGAAGCAAGCACAATTCTCTCCAGACTGTTAAACTAAAGTGAAACATTTAAAGAAATGAGGTCTGGTGAATTAAGGAGTGATCAAACTTTGTTAGTATTCTGGAAAGTTGTCATTCCATGATTTCAATGATCATATAGAGAATGTCAAGTGATCTTGATCATCGTCTTCCTATATTAGTTGCAGATGAAAGAAGATAAAATACGTAAAAATGATAATCACCCACTGATTTTTGTCGCATACATGTATGTGCAGTAGAATGAGTGTTATTGAGTTTCGTATACCATCACTACACAAAACAGGCCTTTGATTTTATTTTCAATTTTTCTTCTTTTACCCTGCCTGTAGTCGCATTGATGTAGACAAAAAATTATGAAATGCCTACTGTATTTTATATGACTAATGACATTCTCCTTCTTCATTTTGCTTACTTTTAATTTTATTTTTTTCTTTTTTCCAGCTAAGTCCAATAGGAAGAAAAAATTCAAGGGCAAGAGGAAGAGCAATTGCAAAAGGAGGCGCTGAACTGCTTCTGAAATTGTCACCGTCCGGGGAAAGTATCACAAGTGCCATTTTTACCGAAATTAAGTTATGAATAGTCTCAAAGTAACTCGATGCATTCACATACGAAAATTATAATTGTATTTAGAACAAAAATTGAGAACTATGACTAAAAATCGATGAAAGTTGATGTACTTCCGCATCACAAGCTCCAACAGGCGCCAAGTTCCGTAACAGCCCACCTTTCTGATCCTTTACAATTTTTGTTACAGCAACCCTTGGAATGACTCAAAGCTAAATTATTTTCGTATGCCATTATTTGCATCTCGTTATTTAGAGCATAATATATATTTTTAGAATGAAAATAGATAAATATTGAAAATACTCCGTAGAAGATGATGAATTTTTGTATCACAAAGCCACGGTTCGTTAGAACCAAAGTTAATTGAAAAAACGTATTACCAGCGGTTTTCCTTCGGAACCTTAAAGTAGGACGTGACCACGTTAATTTAGGCCCTATACGAAATAATTCGGTCAAGCTCCTGGAGAATAAAATCGATTTGAAGATTTTTACTCCTAAATTGGCTGAAAATTGCTGATTTCGGAGCAGATATTCCATTAGCAGAATGAGGCAATGTTGTTTTTGATGTTTCAGAGTTGGGGGAGGGTGCAATAAGTTTTTAAGCCCCCTCCCCCCAAAAAGAAACCCCCCCCCCCCCCCCCCCAAGAGGAAAAGCCTTGCAAATGCGCTTGATTCGATGAGCATGTCTCATCGGGGGAAGGGGACAGAAGCCCCCCTCAAATATAAGCCCTTATATCTGTCCCCAATATTGCATACCCTCCCGGGCGGACCCGTGGTTGCGCGCGTTGGCTTATCTGATTTCGCTCAGTGCCATAGGTGCGCGTATAGTATCTCATTGTCAGAATGTACATGCACTACCTGTAGGAGTCTTGCCCAACTTTTTGACCTTTCTTCTTTCTGGTACACTCTCCCCTTCTCTTTGCCTCCGTTTTAGCATTTTCTGTGCTAAGAGGTCAAAGTTTGGCTTTTCCAAGCACATTCATCCTACTTTACTGCGGACTTTTTAAGAGTATTTAAGACAATCAAGGAAAAGAAGCTTATTCAAAGAAATATAGAGTTTGCTGTATTCAAATGTACAAGATGAAGAAAATGAAGCAGAGCAAATGTTAATATAGCTTTGCTACAAATTAAAGTACAAACTTATCTCTACGAGAATATACTTAAAATCTAGATCTTTTTTGTTGATGATCAACTTGCCTTTACTGATTTTATGCTTACTGTCTTGTGCTGCCTTCACTTTACTGCTTTTAAATGTATCGCCTTTGGCCTTACGTTTATTGCCTTGGCTTTTATATTTACTTGAATCTGTCCTGTGTATTGCTGTGTATTTGTTCTTCAGTCATGCTTCTTATGTGCTTAATTTTTTTGGTCTTTGCGTGTTTTGACGTATTCTTTGCTTTGCGGCATTTTCTTCATCTTGTAAATTTGAATACAGCAAACTCTATATGTCTTTGAATGAGCTTTGGGGGGGGGGGCTTAAAAACTTTTTCGCACCTTCCCCCGACTCTGACTCATCAAAAACAACATTGCCTCATTCTGCTAATGGAATATCTGCTCCGAAATCAGCAATTTTCAGCCAATTTAGGAGTAAAAATCTGCAAATCGATTTTATTCTCCAGGAGCTCGACCAAATTTTTTCGTTCAGGGCTTAAATTAACATGGTCACGCTCTACTTTAAGGCTCCGAAGGAAAACCGCTGGTAATATGTTTTTTCAATTAACTTTAGTTCTAACGAACCATGGCTTTGTGATACAAAAATTCATCATCTTCTATACGGAGTATTTTCAATATTTATCTATTTTCATTCTAAAAATATATATTATCCTCTAAATAACGAGATGCAAATAATGACATACGAAAATAATTTAGCTTCGAGTCATTCCAAAGGTTGCTGTAACAATAATTGTAAAGGATCAGAAAGGTGGGCCGTTGCCGAACTTGGCGCTTATGATGCTTCTATCCCAAATGTAGCTTGTGATGCGGAAGTTTTCACCGATTTTTATTCATAGTTCTGCAATTTTATTTTAAAAAAAAATTATTATTCTCGTTTTTGAATGCATCTTGTTACTTTGAGACTATTCATAACTTAATTTTGGTAAAAATGGAGCTTGTGACACTTGTGAAGTGCTTTATAAGAGGAAAGTATCACAAGCGCCAAGTTGGGTAATTGCTCATCTTTGGGATTGTTTTTTACAATTTCAGTATCTACAACACTTGGAATGACCTGGAGCAATTCGTCACCCTTGGCCGGAGTATCACAAGCGCTATTTTAGGTATAGGTGGTTATAGTAATTAATAAAATTTTTGTTATAATGGAGAATTTGCATGCAAATTTATTATTGCTTCATCTGAAAATGCTTAAAGAGCTGATTCCACAGTATTTTTCATAATTTTTTTCTGATATCGGAAATAGTACCTATAAAAATAGATTATAAGTGAGGAAATGCACTGCCTAGTGATTTCATCTGGGGGCATTTCCAATTTAAACACACTTAGTTTAGCAGATTAGATCATTTTGTTACATCTTCAATTCATGAACCAAGGGTATCCTCGAGTTCAGTTCACTCAGTAGTTTCCACTTAAACACAAAATTCATCGAATTTCAGACACCTGCAAATTCTCTATTTTCTTATTATGTCCATAATAGTCTCTATTGTTACATACTAGTCCTTTTCTGTTGTTTTTATAATTATGGTGGTATTCTTTGTAATTATTAATTTTTTTTAAAATTATATATTTAGTGTTGATCTCCTATGTTAATGCTTCAGGTAATCTGAGAATGTAAAATAACTGGAATACCAAACCTATCTAAGCCATTCCTGAAGATTGTCTATGTAAATTTCATTCTGTAATGGTGTTTCTTTGATCATTATATTGTGTGCGTTTTTTTCATGTTTTATTTATTAATAAGAAAAAATAAACTGATTTCTTGGAATTTCTTTCATGAATATCTTTGTCTATTTGAAGAATAATCGATGAATATTTCAAGCCTAAGGCTGTTTCATTTTCCCTCAAAAAATTAAATACAGGTAATAATTTTGATAGACGACAATTAAACACATTTTTCGTTCATTAGATGTCTTATTGTTGACGCCGATATTATCTTCCCTCTATTGTTAAATAAAATCCCTTTGAATTCAAGACAAAGCTCTGTTTTGTCATTTCTATAATTATTACTTCAGAGTAAAATCCTGAATAAAATTGTATGAGTCCTGAACAAAATCATCATATTTTATCCTTTCGTCAATTTTTAGGAAGAGCTCATGCAAATGAAGAGCCTCATGATAAATCTGATGCCCGATGAAGTGCACTTAATGTTTGCTAAAAGTGTCAAATTGAATTCAAGAGAAGGTTTGTTCTCCTTGTTTCTGTCCGGCAATGAAGAGAGGACAGATAAAATCCACGAAAATACCTCCAAAATACTTTGAAGAGGTTTTTTTTGGTTCGATGTCTGGTGTTAGAAATTAAGCTTGCCAACGGTTGTGTGAAAAGGTGAAAGAAGTTGTCTGAAAGATATTCAGTACTGCAACCATAAGGCATGTTCAGACAACTTGCCGAGCTGTTCGTCAGGTCACCTGACAAGCAGAAAATATAGGTGCCTGAAGGAGTGTTCATGTAAAGAACAGTAACATGAGGTCCCTTACCAACTCCATTTTTTCTCACTACAACATTAGCCTTTCCGTTTTTAGATGATAAAAACTTTTTGAGGTGATTCGTTAGACACATGGGATACCTATATCGCATCAATTAGTTCCATTTTTTCAGCTACTCGTCATTTTTCCTGAAATTTGAGATCGCAATTCGGTTGTCAGAAGACTAAAGAATTCACTTACCAATTTTGACAGACAAATTCAATGTAATACAGGCGTGGCTTTTTAGAGAGAAAATATCATGTTTGATACTGATGTCAAAACTGCACAAGAATGTGATGTTTTCTCTCTAAAACACCACACCTATATCACGCTGAATTTTGTTTGTCAAAATTGGTGAGTGAATTCTTTTGTACCCTGACAACAGAATTGCAAACTCAAAATTTGAGAAAAATTATGAGTGGTTGAAAGAATGGAATCGATCGATGCAATATATCACATGTCATGTTGACACAAAATATGGCGTCTGATTGAATCACCATAAACTGCTTTTACTAACAAAACAAAAATAGGGGCTGGCAAGAGTTATTATATACTTCAAAATTTTAATCAGGTTTGCTTTCATGTCATCTGACGATGGTCGGCATTTTTAAAATAAACTAGAGATATAATATAATTAAGTACCTAGATTCTTATTTACCACGGCTCCTTACTCAGTTCCTTAGCCTGTCACTAAAATTTCTTGAAACCAAGCAAACTTGCGGTTTAATCCGTCGGTGCATTGATTAGATTTTCAAGAAATGTTTAACGAGCAGGTGAGATGTAGGATATTTTGATGGAATATTAGATAGAAGATGATGTTACTACAGCACTAAAAATATTAATCAGTATATTATACACACTCCTCGGAGTCATTTCAGATATGCGAAACTGTTATTTATTCTTCGATCACCCGCTGATAAGCAAATTGCATCAATAGCCGCCAGAAGGCTACATGGAATTAGCGATTTATGAATTGGAATTTAACATTTTCATTCAAGATCAAATAAACAGAAATGAATAACTGAATGGCAAAAAAGTACACTACTGCGAAATATTGGAGTTGTCACTTGTAACTTAGAAGTTTGAAAAGATAAAAAAGAGGTTAGAAATAGAAATTGCTAGGAAACACGTTCGACGATGTCTCTCAAAAAGTGCCCAATACGCCTGAAAACTAATTCAATTTAATATCATTCAAATAGGCACCATCTAAAGGCATCATTACCAGTTAATCAAAATATTGTTTCATTACTCTAACTATCTCGAGTTTCCAGTTCCGACGAAATATCAGTGCGCGATTCCAAGGTAGATTTGCGCGATTCGGTTGATGAAATACCGTTTGGGGAAGTAGCCTGGCGCTGCCCTCTCGACAAAGGTAGAAAGTGAGAAACACCTATAAAGAAATCTCATGCGTACTTTTTGGTTTGGCAACATCGTAAAATTCGAGACAGCCTTACATCTCGAAACATCGACCGATCGATTTGGGCACATTGCCAAAGTTTCGATCTCTCGCTCGACCATGTTGGATTTTTGGAGGTAATGCCGTTGTAGGTAATGTCCTGCCCCCAAAGAATAGATCGTATTCGATACATCAAACGGGTGAGATTGTATCGATATCGATTGGTTCAAAACATAAACATAGCCTCAAAAGTAAATTCAGAAATCTGAGAGAACGGATCTTTTGAAACAGATTTTTTATTCTTTTGAGTACCAAATGTCAAAGCAAAGTGAAATTGTCAGGAAATTTCGCATTTTCAGCTTTTCCAATTAAAATCCTTACAGTTTGGTTTGAGGTTATGTTCTGTTGTTTTGGACCAAACGATACATCGAACCGTTATCGAATACGGTCTATGGTGGTCCCATTTCGGGGGCAGGACATTACCTACAACGGCATTACCTCCAAAAATCCAACATGGTCGAGCGAGAGATCGAAACTTTGGCAATGTGCCCAAATCGATCGGTCGATGTTTTGAGATGTAAGGCTGTCTC